TGATAGCTCGACCGGACGCAGCAATTCAGCGTCCGGTCGCTGAGTGACCCAAGGTCCGGTCAGTAGACCGACGCCAGCATCATTTTGACCAACTCTATTTCAACTCTAACTTCTTCACCCTTGCTCAAATGTGCCAACCACCAAGAATTTTGCATCCGGCGCAATAGAAAATAGACATTTCATTTTTCCAAAAGCACCGAACCCATCTCAACCCTGCAAACACCTTGTGCACATGTGTTAGCATATTTTCACAAATATTTTCAAGGGTGTTAGCACTCCACTAGATCCTAAATGCATATGCAATGAGTTAGAGCATCTAGTGGCACTTTGATAACCGCATTTCGATACGAGTTACACTCCTCTTAATAGTACGGCTATCTATCCTAAATATGATCACACTCACTAAGTGTCTTGATCACTAAAACAAAATGGCTCCTACATTTTATACCTTTGCCTTGAGCCTTTTGTTTCTCTCTTTCTTCTTTTCCAAGTTCAAGCATTTGATCATCACCATGCTATCACCATTGTCATGATCTTCGTCATTGCTTCATCACTTGGAGTAGTGCTACCTATCTCATAATCATCTTGATAAACTAGGTTAGCACTTAGGGTTTCATCAATTAACCAAAACCAAACTAGAGCTTTCACCACGCCGCGCTATTCTAGGAGCAGGAATTAGGTAGCACAGTGCAGTACGGGCATCAGTTATGGGCGTAGCATTGATCACGATGGGCTGATAATCCCTGCTTGATCCGTCTCCCGTCCCGTGCTTGGCCACTCATTGTCTCATCAACGCCGACGATGCGGTGACGTATATGGAGTGGTTGGACGCGTTAATTGGACGTGACGTGTCAGAGAAGTTGGTCGAGACGGAGGCGATGAGGTTGTTGCCGAGCCGGCCTCGAGCGAGTCGAAGAATCGGTACTTCGTCTAAGGCTTTATGCGCGGGGCCTCGGGCGAATTGGAGAATCGATAACCCGTCCGAGGCCTTGCGGGGTAGGGCCTCGGCAAGAGGGCCTCGGCAAGGCGGAGAGTTGGCTTTTCGTACAAGGCCTTTGTGGTGCGGGCCTCGGGCGAATCGAAGAATCGGCCGAGGCCTCGTGGTTGTCCTTCGGCTTTGATATTTGCAAGGTCTAAGCAATCTTTTTGGTTCTTTCTTAGGGTACCCCTTTTATGGTATCCAACAGTAGCCCCCGAGCCTCGGAGAGAGTGCGAGCACTCTCCCTGAGGCTTTGTTGATACTTGGCTTGCAGCAACTCCCATCGGGATTGTGTTTTGTACTCGTGGTTCTGGTGGGTGCGCGCGAGCGCACCCGTCGGGTGTAGCCCCTGAGGCCCTGGAGGAGTGGATTTATTCCTCCAGGGGCTTCTTCTCTGTTGAGTGAGGAGTTTTATCACGTTTGCCAGACCCATGAGTGCGAGTTTAGGTCGCTGGGCCTCGATTTAGTTGCAGGAAGAGCCCCCGAGCCTCTGCACGGAGCGAGAGGGCGATCAGTGGTTTCCCTGTCTTTTTTGGCGGTCCTCGCGCATCCTTTTCGCTCGGAAGGAGGGGTGGAGCATGCCAAGCTACCCTCAGTGGGCGCGAGCAGTGACATCTCCGGTGAGCTATTATCGGGTAAGTCTAAGTGGAGGCCCATGCCCCATTCGATAGGGGTCGGCTAGCGGTCTAGAGACACACTCCAAAAGTACCAGAGGGCTTCTCTAGTGGGTCCCAGGGCCGTTCGATTGGCCCTGGGGGCTCGATGCCTCCCTATGGTGGGATCCCATTCAGAGACCTCCCTACCGATCTCGGACATAACTTAGGGCATCCCAAGCAGTTGCTTGCTTGGGCCTTGGCCATGTACGGGCTCGCCCACAGTCATCCCTGACTCTGTTTGTCCTAGGGCGGTGTCGAAACCTTTGGGGGGGCCAGCCTTCGAACCCCTGGACCATAACGGGCTCGGTGCCCTTTATCGCTTTTTTCAAGCCTCCGAGTGCGAGCTTGGGTTGCTTTTTTCATCCTGGGTGTAGAAAGAGCCCCCGAGCCTCCGCACAGAGCGAGAGGGCGGTCAAGAGTTCCCCTGGCTTTTTGTGCGACCCTCGCGCATCCTTTTCGTTCGAAAGGAGGGGTTGTTTGCCGAGCCCTCGGGTGCGAGCCTAGGTCGCTGGGTCTCGGCAAGGTTGCAGGAAGAGCCCCGAGCCTCTGCACGGAGCAAGAGGGCAATCAGGAGTTCCCCTAGCTTTTTGTGCGACCCTCGTGCATCCTTTTCGTTCGGAAGGAGGGGTTGTCTGCCGAGCCCTCGAGTGCGAGCCTAGGTCGCTAGGTCTCGGCAAGTTTGCAGGAAGAGCCCCCGAGCCTCTGCATGGAGCAAGAGGGCGATTAGGAGTTCCCTGGCTTTTTGTGTGACCCTTGCATATCCTTTTCGTTCGGAAGGAGGGGTTGTTTGTCAAGCCCTCGAGTGCGAGCTTGGGTCGCTGGGTCTCGGCAAGGTTGCAGGAAGAGCCCCGAGCCTCTGCATGGAGCGAGAGGGCGATCAGGAGTTCCCCTGGCTTTTTGTGTGACCCTCACGCATCCTTTTCGTTCGGAAGGAGGGGTGAAATATGTCAGGCTACCCTCGGTGGGCGCGAGCGGTGACACTTCCGATGAGCTGTTATCGGGTAAGTCCAAGTGGAGGCCCATTCCCCATTCGATAGGGGGCGGCTGGTGGTCTAGGGACACACTCCAAAAGTACTAGAGGGCTTCTCTAGTGGGTCCTAGGGCCGTTCGATTGGCCCCGGGGGCTCGATGCCTCCCTACGGTGGGATCCCATTCAGAGACCTCCCTGCCGGTCTCGGACACGACTTAGGGCATCCCAAGCAGTTGCCTGCTTGGGCCTCGACCATGTACGGGCTCGCCCATAGTCATCCCTGACTCTGTTTGTCCTAGGGCGGCTGCCGAGACCCTCGGGGGTTCAGCCTTCGAACCCCTGGACCGTAACGAGCTCGGTGCCCGGTTCCTTAGCCTGAAAGGAATCGGCTAGGGGATATTCCCCTCCCATCGGCTGACAACTGCTGGCATGCCTTTTGAGGCGGTTTCTTGGGGAACGGCGCCTGCTGTTGCTGCGGTTGGATGCGACGCGATGTCTGCGGATGGGACGTTACTGTGCGCGCGCGATTAATGAGGAAAATGTGGACGCGTGGGCGGTTAAATCGTATCTAGATTAACTGTGCCAGTTTTGAGGGAAACTTCCCTGATTTCATCGCCCGTCCATTTCGTCCCCTTCCTGCATAAATACATGGTGAGCCTCACCCCTCTCCTCCTTACCTCGCCTGCATTTGCCTTTTCTACCTCCGAGCCATTGCTAAGAACAGAGAGCGCCGGGGAGAAAAAGGGAGAAGGGCGCGCGCGCGCGAGAGAGAGAGAGAGAGAGAGAGAGAGAGAGAGAGAGAGAGAGAGAGAGAGAGAGCGAGCCTCACCGCCATAGCCCACATTCTCCACCGCACTCATGGCTGGTGCTGTTGTCCTCCCGACGGATCCTTGGGGTCCGTCTGATGTGTCGGAGGAGACGCTGCAGTCGCTCGTCGATGATGGTCTCCTCCGCCTGGTCACCGATCCCAACAGGCCAGAGTGGATTGCTCCGGGGAACGAGCCGGAGTCGAGGCCGCGCGATGGCTACATCGTGAGCTTCGTGTCTTTCCACGAGCGTGGCCTCGGTGTGCCAGCGGACCGGTTCATGAGAAATAAAAATATAAAATTGTTCTATGAATTTGCAGGATGTGAAGAGAGCATGTTAAGCTAGATGCAAACTTCAGTTTTCTTGGTTTTGGTGTACTCAAGTTTCAGTGGAAAAGATGAAAAGTGCTAATTGGGAGGGGTGGTCAAACTTCATAACTCGATAGAAAACAAGAGAAACCAGGAGTTTTGGTAGACGCTATACATAGGTCGGTCTTCATAAACAGGATCTTAAATTCTCAGAGTTTTGGTAGACGCTATACATAGGTCGGTCTTCATAAACAGGATCTTAAATTCTCAATAATATGCCTGTTCGCTGGCTAGGCTGATAAGTCCGGCTGGTGCTGGTTTGTTGTGAGAGGAAAACACTGTATCATGACTGATAAGTTCTGACTGAAACCAACAAACGAACAGGCTGAATGTTACTAATGATTGTTTCATTTGAACAAAATAGGATGGAGCTTTTGACTTTTTTTTCTTTGCATGAAACGTCTGATTGTAAATCACTAAAATAGTGCTAATGAAATTTACATTTTAATTTTCAGACTGCCATTGCCATTCAGTTCACATAATGTCATTGGCATTCAATTTATAGACTACCATTTTTCAAGCAGACTGCATTGCCATTCAGTTTAAAGGGCGGTATTTTGAATTGCTGATATCATTAGCGAGCATGGATCACAAATGAAAACAGCAATGTATATATGGAATCTAAAATAGTTCATAACCTGATATTATTCAGAATTACTGAAACAGTGCAAATGCAACATGACAGTCTTATGGTTCCATAAAGTCATCAAAGCATGACTAAAATATTGAGACTGTGGAAGCACCAGTAAAGACCATGATAGTGAAATAGAATGAAAATCTGTGACTGTCTGGGTCTCGGCCGTCCGTGGATGTTGATGACGGCAAGAGGTTGTCTATCTTCAGCCTGTTCGGCAGGCCCTAAACGATTGTGGATTATTTACTATTGGCTGATTTAGTGTGAGAGAAAAATATTGTTCTAGCTTATAATCCACGATCGTATACGAGCAAACGAACATGCTGCTTGCTATCGGCGCCTGCATCCTTTTCAGTTTCAGTAAATTAAGCTTATCATTGCCAAGTGCATAGGCATCATTTTCGCAGACCTTAGCTTATCAGTTTCAGTAAATTAAACTTCACTGTCATAACTGACTTTAACTGCATTATTGCACCAAATGCCGCACATTATTCGACAACAACGAGGGCCCAGGAAAGAGAACAAAAACAGAAGACGTACAAATGACACTGAAACAATGAAGTCCAAAGAGACCTGCCTCGGTCATTTAGCTTTTCAGTCCAAGTTTGCCAAGGAACTCTACGATGTTTTTGTCGGAGCTGCCGCCTTCGCTCATGGCCCTCTTGGCCTTTTCCTTCCAATCGGCAGCGTTTCGGATGTACTCCGAACTCCTCTCACCTTCCATCACCTCCCTCACACGCTTCTCAAGCTCCTCCTTCCTCACCACACCTTTCTCGTCCGGGCGCACTCGCACGCCTACTCGCCACACGTCCTCGATGTACTTGGCGTTCATGGTCTGGTCCGACCATTGCGGCATCGCCGCCATCGGCACACCGGCGCCCAACCCCTCCATCGTCGAGTTCCACCCGCAATGTGTCACGAAGCACCCGACAGCCGGGTGCGCCAGCACCTCAAGCTGAGGGCTCCATGTCACGACAAGGCCCCTCTCCTTGGTCTTGTCGGTGAAGTTTTCAGGTAACTTTGAGCTCTCCGAGGCCCTGACAACCCATAGGAAGGCCTTGCCGCAGTTGTACAGCCCCTCCGCCATCTCGGACATCTGAGCCGCGTCTGGTTTGGCGATGCTGCCGAACGAGGCGTACACGACCGAGCGCGCCGGCCGAGCGTCCAGCCAGGCCTTCGTCGTCTCCGTCAGAGGTGTGAAGATGTGGAAGCCGTAGGATGTGTCGTCCGGCAACCGGTTGTCGAGGTACGCCGACGGGAACGCTGGACCCACCGTCTTGGCTCTCCAGGTGGACGCCATGTAGTCCGATTCCTTAGCGACACGTGAACAACAATTCAGTGAGCACTCGGACTCTGATCCTACTTGTCTACTACCAGCGGCTTTCTGAGAAGCTTGGCAGTGCAGTGGAGTACGCACCTGAGGCTGCAGCTCATAGAACGAGTTGACCAAGACATGGTCGGCCGTGTCCAGGCCGGCGAACTGGTTCACCAGCAGGTCCAGGTACCCGCGATCGTCCGGATCGGTCAAGAACGTCGGCAGATCGCCTGGCCTGAGCCCGGCCGGGAGCCCGGGCAGGTCGAGCGGCTCCTGTCCACCAAGCGCGAGCGGCGGCTCCACCCGCCCGGCCCAGGCGTGCCCGTACGCCACGTCCACCGCGCACGGCTGCGTGAAGAACGCCGCGCACGCGGCGCCGTGCCGCCGCCCCACCCGCTGCGCCCACGGCAGGAACGCGTCGTACACCAGCGCGCGCACCGGCCGCCCCTGCTCCGCCTCGGACCGGAGGAGCTCGCCCACGGTCTCCGACCCGGCCGACTCCAGCCGGGCCGTGTACGCCTCGATCCCGCCGGCCTCGCCGCAGCCGCCGCGGTCGCAGCCGTCGGAGATGGCGGCGATGTGGACGGCGCCTCCCGGGGGCGGTTCGCCGCTCTGGCCGAGCACGAACCGGGTCACGGCGAGAGTGCACCGGACGCCGCGGTGCGCGGCGAGGCGCTTGCCGAACTGGAGGATCGGGTTGATGTGGCCTTGGCTCGGGTTCGGGAGCAAGAGAACGTGGATGCTGTGCTCTGGATTTCGCTCTGCCATGGTTGGTCGCTCTGCGAGCGCGGGCACGGCGGCCTGCGGGCAGTGCGGCTACAACAGCAGGCCTTGCTGATTACTTTTTGCACCTACTGCGATGGAATACATAAGCTTAGTATACTGGGTTTCTGCGCCGAAATACTTGAAAATGATGACCGAGAGGCGAGAGGACATGATTTGGTGGAAAATGTCGCTAGCTGTCATCTTATTATAGACATATTTTATTTTCCATATATAAAGCTCCTCCCTCCATTTAAAATTATAAGACATTTTAACTTTTCTGGATATATAATTTTTACTATATACTCAGACAGTATTTCATCCGTCCCAAAATAAACCAACATCTCGCTTCCGAAAAGTCAAAATTTTAAACTTTGATCAAATTTATTAAAAAAAGTTCTAATATCTATAATGTATAATAAGTATCGTTAGATTGAGTATAGAGTATACTTTCATAATAAACTTATTTAGAGATATAAATTGTCGGGGACCAATACTAGGGTACCCGAAGAGAAGGAGCTAATGACCATCAACATTGATTCATCCGAGCAGCCAAGAGCATGACTACGGCTCCAATCCAATCGACCCAGGCGCGCAAGCTCCGCCTCGCCCGACCTCTGGGGTAGGGCTCCGCTTCGCCCGACACCGAGCCCACGGGTTCCGCCTCGCCCGACACCGTGGCCGCTGGCTCCGCCTCGCCCGACCTTGGAGGGCTGGCTCTGCCTTGCCCAACACCGTGGCCGCGGGCTCCGCCTCATCCGACCTCTGGGGGCTGGACGTGCTTCGTCTCGTCCGACACCGAGGCCGTGGGATCTGCCTGAACCGACCCCGAGGCCACGGGCTCCGCCTCGCCCGACTTTGAGGCAATGGGTTTCGCCTCGCGTCGACCCTTGGGTTTGTGCTCCGCCTCACCCGACGGGGTTCCATACCGCCCCCAACCACTCTAGGTCTAGGCGTATGGGCCTGGGTCAAAACTCTGACACATGGAAAGAGACTGGCATGCCTTGATGTAACCTACGACCACGATAGTCCATACCTGGGGATTTATATCAGGAACAACGTTGGGCGTACCGGTGCTGTTCTGCCTAACCCTCGTACGAACACTGACAGGCACGTCAGTTCACCACGACGTTCGCTAGGACAGAGTGTAGCGCCATGACCGGTAGGCGATGCCTGCGCATGGCGCCAGTAGCGGACAGGACCGCGACGTGGAGATGTCCCTATTGACGTCTATAGGGTCGGAGGGACCCGCATGAAGGAGAAGAAGGACTCGGTGATCCTGAAAGACTTTCCCCTCTCGTTCTTCTCTTTCCATCCGCTGTAACCCGTGCTTTTCCTTGGCCTATAAAAGAAAGCAAGGCGCCCCATGAAGTGGATCGACCCATCGATTCAGGCCAGACCCGATCGAACCATCACGCACCCATCGAACCTCGAACCGATCAGAACACAACACAAGCACATGGCTGAGCAGTAACCGAGCTCTCGGCACCCGTTCACCTCTTTCCACCAGAGACTTGGGACATGTTCCTCTCTCGCGCGTTTGTAATCCCTACTGTAAACTTTCAGTGCTAGTAACACGAGCAACAACGACGATGAACTGGACGTAGGGACATTCTACCCGAACTAGTATAAACCTCATGTCCTCTAAGCACACCATCGTAGCTAGACGCGCAATACTAGAAATTTACTTGTTGGTGGTAACTCAAAACACCGACAGTTGGCACGCCAGGTAGGGGCCTTTTGCACGTCTCGACATCCACACCTGGCCTCGGATGGCTAGTCACAACGTCAGCTGGGTCTCGGGCGCGCACGTGCGCGGGAAACTAGACTTCATCATCACGACGGAGGGAGAGTTGGCGCGGGCTCCCGTTGTTGTCCAACCTCTCCGCTCTGCCGGCCTCGACTCGATCTCCGAGGCGCTTGATGAGCTGTAGCTACATGCACCAGAGGCCCACGCCCCGGGATGACCAGCTCCTCGGCTTCGACTACGGGAGGTTAGAGCGCTAGCTCGGCGCCTTCCTGGGACCCCGACCATCCTGGGAGGACCTGCACCACCTCGCCTTCTCGTTCGCCAACATCATGGTGCAGCTTGCCGGGGGAGAGCCGCTCTCCCCGGAATACCTCATCTAGAGTTCCCCGATAGCGCTCCCATCTAGTCTTCACAACGCGGCAGAGACCGTTGGCCACCTTGTGGCGCAACGCACGCCTCCATCCCCCGCGAGCGACAAGTTCATGGGGATGACCGAATATGTTGCGGAGTCTTTCCATGACCTCCTCATAGGAGAATCGGAGTCGCCCTCTAGATCTGACTCCAGCAGGGGAAGCCATCACCCCTCTCGTGATTGTTTCATGGTAGGTACCATTGAGGGACTGAAAGGGTCGAGATGGCAGACTAGAGGGGGGTGAATAGTCTTTTCTAAAATTAATCGCGTCGGCTAACCGATATAAATGCGGAATTAAAACAATTGGTCTAGCCAAGACTACACCCCTCTATATATGCTCACTAGCACCTTGCAAAGATACTAATTATGCAACTAAGGTGCCGGGCTAGCTAGAGCTCTCCTAAACAATTTAGGAGCAAGGTCACACAAACCTATGCCACTAGTACTTTAAGCAACAAGGGAGCTCCTACACATGCTAGTAAGCAAAAGCACAAAGCCAACTAAGCTCACTAGCAAAGCTCAATAACAAGGCAACCAATGCCTAATTAGAGAGCATAAATACTTAGCTACACAAACTAAGCAATGTGACTAACAAGGTTACTAAAACCAAATTAGCCACGCAAGGGAGCTACTTCTATGCTACACAAGCAAGAAGGTAACTAGTAAGCTACACAAGCTAACTAATTACAAGAGCAACTACACAAGCTTAAGATATATAAAAGTAATTGCAAGCTTGTGTAATGGGGATGCAAACCAACGGGAAGAACAAGGTTGACACGATGATTTTTCTCTCGAGGTTCACGTGTTTGCCAACACGCTAGTCCCCGTTGTGTCGACCGCTCACTTGGTGGTTCGGTGGCTAATTAGCATCACCCGCTAAGCCCGCATGTCGGGCACCGCAAGAACCTACCCCTTGAGTGAGGGTAGCTCAATGACACGCTTTACTAAAGTTTCTCTTCGCGACTCCCGCGGGGCGAGCACAAGTACCCCTCACAAGCACTTCTCCGGAGCGACGCACAAGCTTCTTGCGGGCTTCGACGGAGACCACCACCAAGCCGTCTAGGAGGTGGCAACCTCCAAGAGTAACAAGCACCACCGGCTTGCAACATGACCACCTAGTGCCACTCGATGCAACCTCACGATGCAATCGCACTAGAATCGCTCACTCACACAATCGAATGATCACTATCAAGTATATGTGTGATGGAGGGCTCCCAAGCACTCACAAGCATGGACACTAAGTCCCCTTAGGTGCTCTGCACCAGCCATGGCCGAGGGCCACTTCTATTTATAGCCCCAAGGGCTAAACTAGCCATTACCCCTTCACTGGGCAACGGTCGGGCCGACCGGACGCTCCGGTCGTGTTGACCGGACGCTGGACCTCAGCGTCCGGTCGCTCGCAGACGACCACGTGTCCCGGTTCCAACGGTCACTTGACTTGACCGGACGCAGCAGCTTTCAACTGACCGGACGTTGAACCCCCAGCGTCCGGTCGTTTCCAGTAAGGTACCGACCTCGACCAAACGCGTCCGGTCACACTTGATCGGACGCAGCCAGCGTCCGGTCACACTCCAGCTTTTGCGTCATCGTACGTCAGCCTGACCGGATGCAGCCTGCCAGCGTCCGGTGCATTCAGATCCAGCGTTCGGTCAGTTGTCCGACGCCAGCATCTTCGCGACTAACTCGTTTTCACTTCTAACTTCATCACCCTTGCTCCAATGTGCTAACCACAAGAACTTGCATCCGGCGCAATAGAAAAGAGGCATTCTATTTTCCTGAAAGCGCTGAATGTGTATACACCACCTCCTTTGTAAATGTGCCAATACCACCAAGTGTACACCACCATGTGTATGTGTGTTAGCATTTTCACAATCATTTCCCAAAGGATGTTAGCCACTCAACTTTCCACGCCACTCGATCCTAGCGACAATGCAAAGTTAGATCACTCGAGTGGCACTAGATGACCGATATGCAAACAAGTTTGCCCCTCTTGATAGTATGACCATCTATCCTAAACCCGGTCATAAACTTCTCTACACACCTATGACCGGTGAAATGAAATGCCCTAGGTTATACCTTTGCCTTACGCATTCCATTCCATCTCCTTCAATGTCGATGCAACACATGCACCAACACGATCAATAATGATATGATCCACTTCATATCATCACATGATCATATTGGTTCATCGATCTTGACTCTACTTGCTCTTCACCGTTGCTATCGTCCATCGGCGCCAAGTCTTGCTCAAGCTTCACCGCCACGCGGTCCATCACTCCAAAGCCTTTGACTTGCCCTTCACGCTTGCAACTGGTCCATCAAGCCAAGTCTTGTCTTGATCTTCTCCACCTTGATCACATGACTCAATGTCATGTCTCATGTGCAATAAGCTCCTTCATCATCACATGTGTGAGCTTTGCAACATCTCCAAGCCATTTTCACCTCCATGGCATATGTTGCTCATACACATGTACCTGTGGACTAATCACCTATGTATCTCACATAAACACAATTAGTCCACCTAGGTTGTCACTCAATTACCAAAACCAACAAGGACCTTTCACCCGTAAGGCACTCAAGGTGAGCGCTAGCTCCACCGCTCAACGGGTGGTGGAGGCGCAGGCCACCATGCAGCGTGGCACGGCGTTGGCCGGGGCCGACCTGGAGGAGCCGGTCGCCCAGGGAGAGGCTATCGGGGCGGCCACGGAGCAAGCGGAGGAGGAAGAGCCTACGCCTCACGGGGTCGAGGCCCACGAGTCAGGTGGGGCTAGGTTGCCCTCAGTCACTGAGGCCACCGAGGTCGAAGTCGAGGCTCTTAGGACTTCAGAGGCCGTATCGGCTAGC